GGTCAGGCAGTTGGACTGGATGATCATGGTGGGTCCCTTCCAACTGAAATAGTCTGTTCTATTCTGAAATGTGAGATGTCACTCTGCTACATGACAGAGCTCCTGATAACACTAGGAATTGTGGATTGAGAAACCTTTCATTTGACCCTCCTAAAGTGCTCCTTTTGGGGGTTAGACCCTGTACAGGTAAGAACAACACTGCACTATTACTGCAGAGTTTTTTTGCACCCAGTATTACTCCTGCATTCAGCAGAATGTGTTTCCATCTTCTGGAAATGTTTTATTTGGTCTGTTCCTGAATTAATTACTTTTGTCTCTGGAATGTTTGTGAGGCAGAGAACTAATGATTACATGCTGGGTATGCTTATGGGTATCTCAAGGATTGTTAGAGGTCTGTGTTTCTTGTCCTAATGGTGCATGAAGCCCAGCAGTGAGAAATTCAAGGAATCCAAGAGGAGACATCTTCCTCACAGCTTTTTACAGTAGAGTCGTTGGAGTGTTGTGTTGAGAGACTTGTACTCAGAAAGGCAACATTGCACCTGCAGTGTGTGCTGGGGGCTTCTGAGAGGTTCAGGTGAACTACCAGAAGACCAAGGAGGAGAGGAAAATAAGAGTGGACTGAATCTAGCTTAGCTTCCATGAAGACAGCTAAAGATACCTTATTCTTGAAATGGGAACAGGATTGGGCTCTCAGCAAAAGTATTGCAGATAGGGTTCAAGTCCTTTCACCAAAAACGTTCTTGCTCTTGGAGCCCTAGTGTTGGAAAAAGAAGGGAAGGGATAATTGGACACAAACTCCTTTAGTTCTCAGAGAGTGGCTACAATACTCCTGAAGTAATGAATGGAGCATGTCTGGCTGACAGCTGCAGGCTTTACTCAGGCTCTGTTAAACCACCATCTTCAGAGTCTGCACGCAAGCCTGATTTGTGGGAGTTTCTATTGAATGTGTAGGCTCACATAGCCTACTCTCTAGCAAAGCAAATTCCTAAAGAAGCCAAAAATCTTGATGGTAACATCACTTTTAAGCCTCTCATGTTCTTAGGTATTGAATCTAAAAGAAATGGAATGAATCAGTGACTGTTATAAATATCTTTAGTGCTTCATACAGTAACAGTTACATGTGCCATAAATGATACCAAGGTATTTTGTTGTGTGGTTGAACTAAATCAGTAGTTTGGTATTTGTCTCATGTAAGTTCCTAGCTTATTTCACATTTGCAGTATTATTAAACTCGACTAAAATTTTTTTCTTTTTCATAATAATCCCATTGGCAAGAAAGCATGGATTATTTTGGGTATATCTTGGAGGAAAATGAAGATGTGCTGTTAATCAGAGAGACATGCTTACTTTTTTTATGTGGGAAGTGGGCCAACAGTTCTACCTCTACTTTGAAGTTCACCAAGATAGGAATAATATTGCAAGCTCTAAGCTGTATTCAGTTTCTGGCTAAATTTTGTGTTCTCAGCACATAGTTCTGAACTGCACTTTGTTGAATTTGAGTGTGAGGCTCAGCAAAGATCAATCCTTCTCTTCTTTTCCTTTGAAGAGGAACTATCTGGAAAGGGGCCGTCAACTGTTGTAAATGGGACCTTGATCTCATTCTTTGTTAGGCTGTTGGGAAAGTGTTCCTCAGATTCAGTGACCAAAATGCAAGCAGTGCTCTGTTATGTCAGTGATCAGACTGGTCTGGAATTGTAATTTATTCCCAGTGAGGAATGTTTCCTAGCTGAGAGTGGTTGCCAGTTGTAGCACTAGCAAGTGAAAAGAAAATCAACAAATTATTTATTTATCATTGCCCTTCCTTAGCTGTGAGTTTTTAAATAGCTGAAGTGCAGCCCCTCTGAGCTCATGTTTAGCTACAGGAGGTGTGCCAGGGAGACTGTGGAAGAGGCTTCTTCTGACAGTGTGTCATTCCTGAATTACGTAGTACATCCCCTGATAAAAGTGCAAAGGACTATCTGCCCATGGGTCAGAGTGTGGAGGTGCATGTTTGGCAATGATGCACTCCTGTTGCATTCTGCCTCTTGGAGAAATTGGGATTTCATTTTGTTGTACGAGAGAAGCAAACAAGTGTTATTTTTGTCCTATACACTGAACTCTGGAAAGCCCTTTGAAGAACAACTTTCCCAGTGATAGGTAGCCAGTACCTTGTCATGAGTTAATTTAGAGTTACAACCTGCTTTTTTGAGAATGTTACCCTATACTTCCAGACTTTGTAGTTGTTCTTGGTGCTTTCTAGAACATGTAGTGATGCAGTTTCACTAATCCATTTTCTCTGATTACCTCAGTAAGTGGATTACAAGGTTTTTCCATCACTGTAGATCTTGATAGTTTCACAAAACGTATTTTATATTGTTTTTGATATGAGTGCTAAACAAAAGTACTGTATTTTCATCTAAGTCTAAGGAAGAGAACTCCCTTTACTTTGCAGAGTCAGAGAAGCTGTGTCTTAAATGATCTTTCCATCATTCCATAGTTAGGGATGTGATGTCAATGATTTTGTGGCTTCATCCCCCAGACTGGATAACTTCTGTTCTAGGTGAGGATGAGAAACTCACTGTAGGAGGTTCCATAGCCTGAGCAGTTTTTAACTCTGTTATGATGCATTTGTGCTTTTTCAGTTAAAGCCACTGAAACACATTTTTTTTGCTGCTCAGCAGCCTTAAGGACTTGTTTGTTTTCTGCACAAATTAAGATGACTGTTTCTTCTGAAGTTGTACTTTTTATTAAAGTGGCAGTCAAGAAGGGAAGATTTTATTCAATGGTTTTATATTATGGTGCACAGGAAATGGTACATTGAGACAGTGGTTAATTTTGTCTAGTTAAGGCTAGAATTGAGATGCTGAGAATAGTCCTTCCTTGCACCCTCCTACTGGCTGTTATTCATAGCAGGAAACAGCACTCAACCTTTTTTGAAAATTAACTGTCACTCAGGTGTTGATTCACACTACTGCTTATTCCATCAACAATCTTTAATTGGTATTTTTGTAATTCATGTAAAGTTACTGGTGCACCATTTATCTGAATTTGAGAGCCTTGTTTTGTATTTCTGATTATAATCCCTCTGTGCTGATCTGAACAAATTATGCCAGAGTGTTGAGACAAGAGAGTCAAAGTTGGCCACAGACTTCTGAATGCATATAAATTTCTTTTGTTGGAGCAAAGAGAGGAGGAGTGGATCTCTGACTCAGCTCCCCTCTCTCTCTGCTGACAAACTGTGAGCTTGCAGCTGGGGAAGTGCTATGGGAGGGAAAAATGAAGGCCAAAGTCATCGTGTTTGTGAAGCCTTGCCAGAACTTGTGAGGAAATTCCACCTAAGATGTCAAAGATACCTCAAAAAGTGAGAGGAGAAGAAGGACTGATAAAAGATGACATTTCAAGAGTAGCACCACGGTCACATATGATGGAAGTGTTGGATGGGGCAGTGGGAACAAAATCGTGTTTCTGAGACTCGAGTAAGACTGTCATTCATCTTGGTTAGAACAAATTCAGAAAAATGCCAAGTGAGGGGTAGAAATAGCAAGCAAGAAGTGTATTAGAGAGGAAATGAAATGGAAGACCAAAGTCTAGTTAAAGGTTAGGAGCTTTAAAATGGGAACAACTGAATCATGCTTGTGTTCTAAGAGGAGAGACTAGGAAATGCCAGGAACAGCTAAAAGGAACTGCAAGGAAGGAGGAAAGAAGGGATAGAAAATAGAAGTTGCAGTGTGATGAGTAAAGACCATGAGCACCTCTCTCAACAGGGGTGGGAGGAGTGACTGAGGGGAAGAGAAGGGGCAAGCTAAGAGGGGAGATAACATGGAGGGGAGAGAGAGAAGATCCCGTGTGAGGAAATGACACCAGAGGTAGCTCAGCTGAGTTGCTGCCATGAGTACATCTGTCTTACGCTCCTCTACCACACTCCCCACTCTTTCCTCAAAACTGCACTGTTTTGTGACACTTCTGTGTTGTATTGTGTTGTTATAAAGTGACTTCTAGTGATGTAATGGGTTGTCTCTATAGCTTTCCTTCTCTTGGCCCAGTTTGATGAACAAACAAAGCTCCAGTTTTCCTGTCATTTGATCAAGAAGAGAGAGGAGGGGGCTGGTGACATTTTTTTACTCAGTAGACTTTGTCCTTTCTAATGGTGCATCAGAGTGTCATGCCCCAGTCTGCTCTGATGAGCCATATGCAAATGAGTGCCAGGAACAGGGCAGGGTGTCATAGAACATAAGAAGAATGAAAATTATACATTTTTTCATTTTATATTTGGTGGTGCTCTGGCATGAAAAGTAAGGGAAATACTTTGGATATGAGTAAGACAACCTTTCTCATACTTGTCTGCTGGTGAGGTTGCTGCCTCCTTCTCCCTGCTGCCATTTTTCTGCCTCTTGCATTCATTGCTGTGCTCCTGCCTCAGCCTCTTTCTGCTGCTGACAGTAGCATTTTGGTAGAAAGCTTTGAGTTTTAGGTTCATACATGCATTTTTTTTTTTCTAACAAAGGAATTACGTATTAAGGAAAAAAAAATCAATATGTGGGTTCAGCAACTCTACTCAGAAGAGCTGTAGTTTGCACCTGCCTGATGCCCTCATTCTCTCATAGGCTGGGTTCTCTGTGGTATTTGGTTCTTTGCCATGCACCACACAAGGTACCCAGAGGCACGTGAGATGCAGTTGTATCAGGAAGCATCTGTCAGTAGGAAGTGAGAGGCTTTTTTGAACTTTCCATTTTTTATCTCTGCTGTATTGCAAATCTCATCCCAAGGACAGACTTCTACTTCCTGCTTTATTCAACACAGACCTCTGTCCGGGGAGACAGTATTTTTGGCATCCATTGGCAAACTCACACAGTCATGGCAGTGTAGTTTGATCTCCTCCCAGACACAAGTGCAAAGATGTGCAAAGATGTTCTTTTCTGACACAAGAAGAGTGAGTTTGTCTAATGAACTGCTTTTACCACTTTCTGAAGTGCTTTTATTTTCCTTAAACCTCTAACATCCAAATTTATTTATTTATTTAGGCTGGGAGGCCCAGTGAAGCTTGGAGCTGTGTGTGGGGGTGTTTCCCTGAAGGAGCTGCCAGTGAAATAGATACAGCTGAGCTGACTGCAGCACTTCTTGCTAGAGCACACCTGTCAAGAGGATGAATGAGCAGCATGGTAAGGATGCAGTATATCTTCAGTTTAAGAAAGAAAACAGCTCTCTGTGGTCAGTCTAGAACTGAAAGTGTCAGCCTCAGAGTACACCGTGTTAATCCATGGTTTCACAATCACAGTACGTTCTGATTAGTATTGCTGTGGAACAGGCTGCTAAAGCAAATTCCAGGGCACTTCTGTTATCTTAAAATGAGAGCCTGGGGAACTTAAGACTGAGCTGATCACTCTGAGCTGTGCTGTGTAAGCTTGTGCATGTCCAGTATTCTTGAAAATGAATTAATTTGCATGAAAGGAAGAGTATCTGTGTCCACAGCTAATAAATATCTCTCTTCCCAAGAATTTTGAAAGTTGCAAAATCCTCAGGTCAAACCATGCTTGATCCCAACTGTGCTCTAAAACACTGTTCAGGCTGGTAAGGGCAGCAAAACCATCTTCCAAATGGGCACTCCTTGGTACCAAGTTTCTGTGTTTTGCAATTTAACTAAGCTGAATATCCATTGTGGGAGAATTGTGTGTGCTTTTATTTCATTTCCACTGAATAATGAATATAGACTGTTACTGATTACATTAATATGTAATTATTACCATGAGAATCTAATCCCCTGAAACCATTGGTCACTTGGTGTATGTTCATTTAGCTACAAATGCTTTTCGTTTTCCATTTGTATTTTATCATTTAATTGCTTTACTCCATTCAACATCACCCTTTTTTGATCTCCTGTTAATCATTATTTGGAATGAGAATTAGCCCTTAAGCAAACAGTGCCCCAAATCTATCTTGCTTCTTTGTGTGTAGTGATGACCTTGTGTTGGAACAGAAAAAAAACAATTAGCTATCGCTTTAGATTTATAATAAAAATTCTCTAATTATATTTGAAAATTGCAGTTGAAAAAGAATCTTAATATTTATTCATATTGTAAATCAACAGGACCTCAGACTCTACAAAGCCCTGATCTTCTGAAAGTGTAATGGAAATCTTTCTTTAAAAATAAAATAAAGTCCACATCTCATTTCCTGAAAGAGAACTGTCTGTGATACACTTAGGAAATCAGGTAGCTCTGCAATGTCCCCCTGGCCCGTGCATTTGTTTTTCTTTCATAGGAGTCTTAAATGTGAGGGTGAGGAGGTGTCAGGGTTGTCCAGAGTCCTTTGGAGAAGGCCAACACATGCACAGCTGGTGCTTGGTGCCCACTTCAGAGAGGCAGAGCTGTTCCTCTCAGTAGAATGGCATTTTCTTCTCTGAACTGAACTGGGTTTGTAAGCCCTTGATGTTTACACTTTTTTGTCTAAAATTAATGAGCATCCACCCCCTTAAAAATCTCATTAAAGTTTGGTTTTGGCAGGTTGCCTCCCAGAGTCTTGACAACACTTTGGGTGCTGATGATCTGATCGAAGTGTCTTCTCATTCCCTCCTCCTTCCCCATCTGTTTGTATCCACCTCTTGTGTTACAAAAATAAACTGTTTGGGTTAGGAACTGGTTTTTTTCCTTTTGCTGGGTGCAATGCTGTTCTGGTGCACAACTCCTCTGCAGTATGATTTAGCCTCTGCTGGTCGCTGCTACCCTGCCTCCTCTAGCCAAGCAAGTTCCTTGAGCAGCTCCCTGCTGCAGCACAGGATAGTGCAAGTAATTGTCCTGCTTAACCTGCATCTCAGCCCATCCATCTGTAGCAATAACTCTGGCAACTTGCTTAAATCAGAGGCTGAAGCAGAGGGAGTATTGAGAAGGTGAACAAAGGTATGGAAGATTAGAGGCTCTGGGTCTTGTAGGGAAGGACGAGGTCTGGTCCCTCCTCTTCAGTATAATCTGCGCTGCCGCCGAGTCGTGAAGGGGGGAGTGACAGGAAACTTGTGCACTGTAAAATGAAAATGTAGCTGTATTTTAAGAAATTCTAAGATACTTCCTAAAATGCTGCTCTTCGTCTTCTGATTTACCATGATCTGAGATGATGGAAGGAACAAAGGAAGGAAACTGGAAGCTCAAACAGCCTACACTAGCAAACGCTGTACTTATGTGCCTTTGAATATGTTAAAGTTAGGATTCATTAAACAGAGCTTGAGGGTTGCAACTATCATTTAAAAATGCCTTCTCTAAACAAACAAGAAATAGTATAGCCAAATGCAAGTAAGATAAAATATAAATCAGTGGTTCTTTGCTAACCCTTCATTAAGGATGTCTGCAAGCAGTTTTACAGCAGACTACATAGTCATGTCTATTCAGTGGGCTTTAAGAAATGGGGGAGATTGTTGTTGTTTAGGAATATCAAAGAACTTTTGTAGTTATTATATAGCTTTGGTGAACAAATCATTAATCATCTTAAAAATAACTGGGGGCAGATAACATAATAAAGTGCCCCTGGGATGTGTTTCTGTTTTATCAACCAGCAGTTATAAGTAAAAGGCAGAAATGGTGCTTCTAGCTAGTTTTGTTTAAAACAGCAGGAATGAAGAAAGAATTATCAGGATGGGAAACACATTAAATCATGGCAAGTAAATTCCTTTCATCTTGAGTATGGCTGCTGACTGTCAATAACTGAGATTAATGCTGCAGGAAACAAAGCAGAAATGTTAAATATAATGACATTTAAAAGAAGAGCAATAACCAGTTTATTAAAGGGAAGTGTTTTGAACTCTGTGAGGTTGGCAAACGGAATTTCAGAAGCATTTAAGATACTTTGGCCTCATCTAAATCATCATAGGAGTAAATTGAAAAATATCCTGTAAATGAGATCTGGTGTCTCTTTGTATTATCTCCTCTAAGGGATATACATACTCCTAATTTTTAAAAAGGACTCAAATGTCCTGATGAGCCTGACATTCTTTATCCACAAAAATTGCCACTTTGACAACTTTCTTGTGTGAACACACTGAAATAGGTACTGCTTTAGCAGTGCATATTCCATTAACAATGAAACTGAACTGAGCGTTCTGTCCCACAACTTTCTCCCTTTCCCAAATTTAATTGTAGCTCTGACAATGCCCAGTGCTGCTGTCCATGGTGAAGTATGGAGCTGGGCTCTGAACTGGCAGCCAGGGAGAGTGTGCAACAGTTTTTAGTTCAGCCTCTGTTCTGGTCAGTGGTGTGTCTGTAACGTGGTGTCTCTCCCTTTCAGTGAATTAAATTCTTACAAGTTCTGCAAAAATTATCTTTAGGACTTCTAAGGCTCATTGCCTTGGGAAACCTAGCCAAAATTGTCTCATGGTCTAGTGACCTTGGCAAAGACAAAAAGCCTCTTAGTGGGGGAGCTGGAAGAAATTTCACCTCAAAGAGCTTGGTTGGCAGAGATGTTGATTAGAGGCTGTGGATGATGATCTCTGTAGTTCAGGGTGCTCCAAGAGTTAAATGCATCCTACTCTAGAAATTTCTGTGGAACCCTAAGGATGGAAGGGCCCATCTATGTAGAGAAGGTGACTGTAGAGGGACCTTTGGTCTATAACTGTGCTTGTGAAGGAGAGGACTCTAATGATCTTATTGAGTACACTGTCATTTGCCACTCCTACCACCTTCCCCTCTTTGCTTGAATGTTACATTTACTCCAGTAGATTCAAATAGGCTTTTGAAGTTCATTAGTAGAAGTAATTAATTTCTCTGACAATTTCTAGTTTTCAGACACAAGTCTTAGAGGGACACTTGGCCTTTTTTTCCTGCCTAATGCATGAGTAGCTCCTGTTAATATAAACAGGATGTCTTTAGTAAAGCTCCTGCGTGGTTGTGGATACGTCTGTCAGCAGTGCAGAGCTGCACAGGTACCTCCACAGGCAGCTTGGGCCACCCTGGTAATCATGGGAGCTGACTTCATACTGTTTAGAGTACAAAATGAAGTTTGCCATTGAAGTACCTTGTTGAGAATGAGTTGCATCAAACAGTATGAAAGTGTTTCCTCTTAAGGGCAGTGTGAAATTCTGTTCCTGTCAGAGAAGAGAAGGTGTTCAGATGTGAGTGGGGCCAAGGACTATTGATGCATAATGGAACCGTGCTCGTTTGGGAGCAGCTTTCGTGATGATGTAGTAATTAGTCCTCTAAGAGGAACATATTCACAGGCATTTAACAGCAGCTGAAGAAACAGCAGCAACAGAGGGGATCAAAGAGAAATGACATCAAGGCTGATGGCAAAGGGGGTGGTAGCTGGGGTAAGTACTATTGACCTTAGATCTGAAGAACGTAGATTATGGTTTCTCTGGAGCAGGCAACATACCCATTATGTTGTTTAGTAGCTCTCCTTTTTCCTTGACAATAATGAATCTCTGCAACTCTAATAGAATTTATAATTAGACACAACTAAAGCTTGAGTGAAGAAATTATTTCAGCCTAATACAGTGTAGGAGAAGAGTTTACATGTCTCTGCTCTTCAGAGGCTCTGTGACCTGCTCCGGGAAACCAGAGGCTTAACTGCATTCAGGGACTTGGTGGGGCTGGACACCCTTGCTTCAAGGCCCCTTTGTTAATTAAGGAACTAGAATTGCTTTGTGCCATGTGTTAGCCCATGTCTAACAGTATTGCTTACAGGATATGGGTCTGCTTGTTGATCTTACCTGCATAACTGTGAGTTGAGAGGGGGAATGAACAGTGCTGGAGACTGCTGGTGGCTTTTCATGGATGCAGACTCTCTGTGGCCTTGCTGTTGGAATGGGTCATGAACATGGCTCAAACTAGAACCAAGTCCAGCTACACGACCTAAGCAACTGCATTCTTTATTTTATAAAACTGGCACTCAGTAAACTTATATAGCCTTCATTTTTCATAGGAAGAACTCCAAGAGTGATGTGGGAAGTGCCACAGCGATTGGCTCTGGAAGTGTGATATCCCTGTAGCACACGGTAGATGAATGGAATTTTCCTGGTTATGGTGTATAAGAAAACATGGACAGTGGTGTGCAGTCAGGGTGATGCTTTGCTTTTTCCTGTGCTGTAGAGCCACTGGTAAAACACAAAAGCCGATGCAGTGTTGGGGTTTTTTTTTGTTCTTTGGTTTTGGATCCTTATTTTATGATATGCCAGCATTTG